GCAAAACTGGTGAAGTATAGCTCTCACTAAGGCTGTCATCAACTGGTGTGGTAACTCATAGTGTCAACCCTCCAACTTCCTCCCATACTATACCAAACAGAATCCTTAGTAATGTTTTTTGCACTAATGTTACTTATCAATCACAGTTCCCATATATCACTGAATATAATGGCAACAGTTGTGATATAGGAAACTAGCAAAATCAAAATTAATCTTTTAAATTACAATATCATATGCACAGTCTAAACGCATGTACATGTACATAGTTGCATGTGGTAGAATTCAAAGATATAGCCATGTTAGTCTGTAGAATCAGTACATAGAGAGATCTTGTAGCATCTTTGAGACTAACTGAAAGAAAGAAATTGGAAGCATGAGCTTTCATAGACTTCATTCTACTGCCTCAGATGCATTTGGTGGAATTGAGGCCAGGCACACACACACACACACACACACACACACACACACACACACACACACACACATATTGAGAGGATGTTAATTCAAATTACAAATTCTTTGTGTATGGAAATGAAGTGGCAGGTCCAGTCTTAATGATGGCCATTAGTGCACAAAGGCATAGGAAACTGCATGTGGTTAAAGTGAAAATTTGGTTAGATGTGAGGTTTTTAAAGAAAAAAATTAAGAGGATTTTTAAAAAATATATTAGTTTTTTAAACCTGGGGCCTCTCCTTTCTCCTCCCACCGATCCTTGCCTCATTCACACCATCTCTTCAGTGTTTTAAAGGGATGCAGGTGAACAGTGGTGTCACTCTTAGGGTGTCATCTGGTGCTGTCTGCACCCACCATCCCTAGTGATGGGAATAGCCCTTTCTGTCAAACATGGGAAAGGTTCGACAATACTTCCAGTGGCTTTGGTAATGTTGCTAGGAAGGATACTGGACCAGTGAAGAGAAGAGAAAAGGGCCAGTCCTGGACATTACTTCTAGCAGCACATGCTTGATGGTGTGAGGTGAGCACTGGTTTGGCAGCAGTCTTGGTGCTTCTCCTCCATTGAAGGGCAGACATGTGAGTACTAAATAGACAGCCTTGAAATGCTTAAGCTATTCTGCTGCCCATAGGTGAGGTGAAGGATGCCATCTCATCAGCAGAATTGAAGTTTGGTTTTTCTGTAAGTCTGGTCAGTTTCTGTAGATGGAGTGGGAAGGGTATTATCTTGTCTGCCATCTCAGGAAACAAAAAGTATTCGGTTGCCTTGGGAAGGCATAGCATATGGCAGTGTTTGAATTACAGGACATAAAAAAGTCAATAATAAAACCTACAAGCCATTCAATTCTCTCCTCCACCCAATTTCAGCTAAATTTGTGCTCTTTCACACTCCTCTAGGTAAGGGAGCCATTACAAAAGGGATGCAGGTGAACTCTCTCTTCACCACTCCAGTAATGCAAGCATAAGTGTTTGGATTTCTTCTCTCTTACAAGTGTGCAGACAATTTCACCCAGGAGAGTGAAATTTGCTGTGCTACAGTACTGTGGCTATTAATAAATCAATTAATAATAAGTCAATTAATAATTATTAATAAATTAATAAGGTTGCTAATAGTCCATCTTTGGTACAGGAATTTTGTTCTTAATGTTTGTTGCCGCAGTACTGAAGACACTTGTTTAAGATCTTTTCATCTGTATAATGGTGTCTACTGGAATTTTCTTGCAACAAAGCTGGAAGAGAACATATTAATGGTATATTCCATATTTGTTGTTGTTGTTGTTGTTGTGTGCCTTCAAGTCATTCCTGACTCATCGCAACTCTTAGGCGAAACTATCATGGGGACTTCTTGGCAAGTTTCTTCAAGGGGTTTTGCTATTGCCATCCTCTAAGACTGAGAGAATGTGACTTGCCCTAGGTCACACCAGTGGGCTTACCTGGCTGAAATAGGATTCAATTCCTGGTTTCCAGAGTCATAGTCTGATGGTCAAACCAGTATACCATGCAATATTCCATATTTATCTACATTTAATTCTGTCTTAAAAGCTAACCAGGCTTCCTACTCTCTCTAGAATAATTTACTCCCCCAGCACTCCTCAGAAAAAGACTTTGATGTGTTGTTGTTTTTTTGCTTATAGCATTCTTTGCAATGCTAACATTTTCTTTGTTGGCTGCTCAAAGCATGCTTTTTTTCTTTCAAAGACGAATGACATGTTGTTTTCTAAATGTCAAGCCAGCCATAAGATAGCTGAGCTACAGAATATGTTAGAAACGTTTTAAGAAAGACAATCCTGTTTGGGTGCTTATCATCGTCATGGATAAAAGTAAGAAGATGGAGGTCCAACTTTCCCCTTCATAATTTTTTATTTAAGGGAATTGACACATATGAGAGAAAGTGTGCTATGGAGTTGCCAGGAGCTATATGGGTATAGTCATGAATGTAGCAGGGTGGTATGAATCAGAAATGACATATCAGGCTATCATTTCCAACTTTTTTGTTTGTTTGAGATTGAGTATCAATCATTTCCCATATGCCCAATCTGGAAAATAAAGAAATACAAAGATTACACTGATTTTACCAAGCACTAACAAAGGGGGGAAGCAGACCAGGGCATCCAGGACGCCCTGGGACGGTGCGC